TACTTTGCTCTAGGTCAAGTTCATGCAACTCTTCAAGTTTCCCAGAATTCTTCATATTCATCATTTCTTATGGTGCTGTAGTATTCAGTTCCTTTCACAGACCACAGTTTGTTTGGCCATTTGCTGTTCCTTGGATCACAGCTTTGTATTCAGTTGGGTAGTGTGATCTCTGGCAGTTCTGGAAACTGTGTAGCATATAGCACCTGCACAGTACTCTGTTTTGTTTGGGAAGGAAGGACATTTTGTATTTCTGAATGAGAAAAACCAACATAAAATCATTGAAAATATGATAGAGTAGAAACAGGTAGAGGACCAGAGTTCAAATCCCTAGCTCATTAGATGTGCAAACTTGGCTGTCATTTTTCTGCACTGGTATTCACATCCACATGAAGGGGTTAGAGAAGATGGTCTATAAGGTCCCTTCCAACTCTAAATCTCAGATCCTATATATGATTCATTCTAAGGTAGAAGTTCTTAACCCAGGATCTGTGAACCTTCTGAAAAAAATATTTTGACAACTGTATTTTAATATGGTTGTTTTCCTTTTTAATCCCATCTATTTTTTATTATGGATTCTGGAACATTGTTCTGAGAAGGGTTCCATAAACTTCTCCAGGCTGCCGAAGGATGCTAAAAGGATTGAAAACCCTTGCTCCAAGGTGAAGTGCTAAGTTCAATTTAGTCTAGCTCTCATGGTCTAGAAAAATGAACAAAATAAAATACACTTGATAAGAAGCAAAGTGCTTACTTACCTGTTGGGAAAAAAATGGCCATTTCCCAAATTTCCTCCATTGATGAGTTAATGAGCTTTCCGAGATGTCTCTCAGTAGCATTCAGGCGGTACACAATCTGCCAGCAGCTCTTTCTATGAGAGTGGCCATGTGGTACAGGGATAACTAGGGATCAAGCAGTATATTCTACTTGAGAACCATTGCTACAGATGCACAGACTGAGGCTGATATTCAATTCATTCATCCTAGACTTTCCCAATACCTGGTCAAGTGCTTTATGCCTCCACATTTTAGCCGATCCGTATGGGTGGAAATTTAATATATGCTTCTCTTAGGCCTTCCCATTCATTCCCCTTTGGAGCCATCTGGTGCAAGACCCATTTCTGCTCCTGACTTTCCCAGCTTATTTCAAATACTTCAGTCCCAGAAAACAAAAGCTTTGCATTTCATTGTAAGATTAGAAACAGGAAGAGTTTCTGTGGGCCCCAGGCCCTGCAGGGCACTAGAAACATTATCTGCTCCTCACTGTCATTTCCAGAACACACTGGCTTACAGAGGTTTAGTCAATGACGTGTAAATAAATACCAGTGGGCTAGGCTTAATCATCTCTGCCAGGCCTCATGCTTGTCTGGAGAGGTCTCGTGTGAAGTGATATAAAAGAAGACCAGCCACACTCCCTCTCATTGGGGGACAAAGACTAAACCATTCTCATGTCAACACTGGGCTGGCCTATGCTGTCAGCTCTGCAGTCTACAGAGGGACATGTCAAAATCTGGTCTGAATGGAATCCAGAGGGTTTGTCTAAATAACCATGAGTTTCTGATGCTTTCGTAGGGATTAGACCCATCATTCAAAGTGGACTTTCCATGCCACCTCTTTACTTTCAAGCAATGCTATGAGAAAGTGGCCTCAAACATGCCCAATGGTACCTGGAATATGGTGTACCTAGTCCCACGAGGAGCAGAGGCTGTGAGGCCTGGCCTAACATAGGCCTGACAGTGGGCACCCTTAAAGGTACACACACATGTTTCCTCCTTCTGCCTGCCTGCCTGCCATCTGCTAACAGGCATTACAGGCTCAGGATGACGTGGAATTCCTGCTGTGTTAATCTGCTTCTATTCAATGGCTGGCTGTGACCAGGAGACAGACGATTTATCTTTACTGCTCTTATTTTCGACAATGCCCACCACACACACAATCCAAGTGCTTTGCAGGCCCAGGAAACACAGATAAACCAAATGGTTGTTAATGCCCTGGATCATGTGGAAGCCATCATTACCCAGGCTACCATTTTAGCAGCTGGGTCGTATTGTGTCCCTTCTACTTGGTGAGGGCCAGGCACATGGCAATTGTTACACCTTTCAGTGGCCACCCTGCCTCCTGGGTCTGCCCCTCTTCTACCGCCTTTTGTCCCCGGTCAGCTTACCCGGACAGTGCTCCCGCCATCAGTACTGGAATGCACACACCTCTGGGGTGGCACGAGCAGCTGCCATTACCCGATAGCTCAGGATAGCAATGGGAGAGGCCCCAGCCTATCCAGCTAAAATGGCCCGTGGAGTTTAGGGGAGACAGAATGCAATTATCCATACTGGAGACCAGCCAGGATACCGGGGCTAACTTTGCCAGTGCCAAAAGCTGCTGCAGGCTGCAGGCTGCCAGGCTCTCCCTTTAAGGACTTGCCTTGAGAAAAGCCTCAGAGAAAAGCAATAGACTGGGTGCCCTGTGAGACACACATCAGGAGGACCTCAGAGGAGGCAAAAAGGCATAGTGGAGAGTGCTGGCCTGAGAGTTAGGAAGACCTAGGTTCAAATCCCACCTCTGAAAGTTCTATGTGTGAAACAAGTAACCAATCTTCCTAGAGTCCAAATTTCCCTTTTTTACAAATGGGGATAATGATACCAATTTTAATATGCCTTTCATCTCATGGGGGGGTGGGGTGGTTGGAGAATCAATCACATGGGATGGGAGATGGGCTTTAAAGTGGTATATTTATTTCAGTTATGATTATCCTTTCAGGCCCTTGAGGAATTGATTAGGATCATGCACAGGATGGGAGGGCGTGGCCTCCAAGGTTGTGAGTGAAGAGTCATCCCTGAGATCCCATTCATGTGTTAAACCACCCAGGGGGTTATCCACAGCTATATCCTCCTGGGCTAGGAGAAAATGGATTATCAAAGGGAAGAAAGCAAGGTCTCTTCACTGCTGAGGGCCAGATCTCTGTTCAAGGAGGGGGTTGGATGAGATGTCCCTTCCAGCTCTGAAATTCTATGATTCTGGGGAAAAGATGAACTGCCAGGAAACTGAGCCTGTCAAATATTCACATGGGCTTTGATCTTCTCCTCACCCATCACCTCCCTAGTCCTTCAAGGTCTGGAGGCTAGGCGGAGCTAAGTGATTTAATGGCCACATCTGTCTGTGCTGGCCAAATGCTTTTCCAGGAGTCAGTAAGTTAATGGCTTTTCAGTAGGGCTAGGGTTTCTAATAAGTATAGTAATTTGTCTACCAGGGGAAGGGGAGATCATCTCGGCACACGTGGTCCTCTGGAGGTTTGCAGCTCGGCTGCTGCACCTGCCACGGTAGCTTTAGCTGTTACCCTTTGTTGTCTTGGGACTAGTGACTTAGAGACAGCTTGCTCCCCATAGTAAGTGCAAGAGCTGCATCCTGGGGACCGACTCTGTCGCCTGTGGTCTGGCTTGTCTGGGGCCCTAGTGCCATAAAGCTAGGCTATTTTCACTCACTTTTCATAGAACAATTGAAATAAAACCTAACTCCCAGGAAAGCCAGGCCCTTGGGTGTCCATAGTGTAAAAGCAATGAATTTTGTCTCAGCTGCTCCATTCCTGACACCCTCAGCCTCCTTCTTTCCTTCACGCTCCCCTCCCTTTCCATAACTGAACCCTTCTTGCAGCTGCCCCTCCCTTTTAGCATCTCCTGCAAAGCCTAATTCCTTCCTGCTGCCTCCACTCTCTTGTCAGGTTGGGTGACTGCTAATTCACAGTGATCTTACCATGTACCTTGCCATATCTCTACAGCAGGGTTTCTCAAACCATGGTGCTTAATAAATATTCTTTCTCTCCTTTCCTTTTTTCTCCCTTTCCTTCCCTTCTTTTCCTTTCCTTTCCCTTCCTTCCTTCCTTCCTTCCTTCCTTCCTTCCTTCCTTCCTTCCTTCCTTCCTTCTTTCCTTCCTTCCTTCCTTCTTCCCTCTCTTTCTCTTCCCTTCCTTCTGCCTTCCTCCTTCCCTTCCTTTCTTCCTTGCTCTCTTTTCTTTAGTTGTTTCCTTCCTTCCTTTTTATCTCTTTCTTTATCTCCTTCCTTTCTGTATAGCTATCTATTATCTATCTTCTGCAGAATCCTGTCCTTCTTTCCATAATGTGAATAGCCATTTCATCAGAAAGTTATAAAGTTAATGAGATTTTCTTTGAAAATTATTTATTGATGCTTTTGGTTTTTCTGTTAAAATCAGTATCACTTCATAATAACTCCCATTCCCCATAGAGCTTTCCCTTGTAACAAAGAGAAATAGCTGAGCAAAACAAAGAGACATAGTGCATTAAGCATTCCACAACAGTAGTCTACCACCTCTCCACTATGAGGAGGGAAATATATTTTAACACTTAGCCTTTGGACTCAAGATTGGTCATTGTACCAACCAGGATCTAGCATAGTACCATGTATATAGTAGGGACCTAATAAATATTGAATGAAATTGGGCCATATGGAGATTCCTGCCCCACCCATGCATAAGGGTGATCCTGTTCCCCAGAAGTTAGGGAATTTATATCTTTGTTAAGGATGAATTACTATTATTTACAGTATTTTGACTGTTCTGAGAATGAATGGCTAAATCCTTGCAATTACTTGGTGTTAAAATAAAGACTAGAAGTCTGAAATGTGGTTCCAATACTGCATTCTCTTTCAAGGTTTTATTGTAGCATATGAAAAGATTGATCTATCCATTCTTCTGCCTCTAGGTAGGATTGCCCCCAACCCAACACAGGTAGATGTGAATCTATACACATTAAAAAGAATCTTCAGAGGGCAGCTAGGTGGCGCAGTGGATACAGTACTGGCCCTGAAGTCAGAAGGACCTGAGTTCAAATTTGGACTCAGACCAAACACTTGACACTTACTAGCTGTGTGACCCTGGGCAAGTCACTTAATCCCATCTGCCTTAAAAAAAAAAAGAATCTTCAGGATAGGATGTCATAGTGTCAGGAACTTATAAATGGAGGGAGGAGATCACAGTTGGAATCATAGAATCTCAACACTAGAAGGAGGCCTTGGAAGCTATCTGACCCAACATATACCTGACTAAGAGTCTTCTCCACATCATATCAGTCCAAGTACTACAGGTTGGGTGGAATTTTAATCTATAACAGGGAGTAACATGAAATAAGGCTGGAGGGGGAGGTTGGAGCCAGATCATAGAAGACTTAAAGTGCCAGGCCAAATAGTTTGTATTTTGTCCTACAGGCAACAGGGAGTCACTGGAGATTTTAAGTAGGGGAGTAATGTGGTCAAACTTTTGTCTTAGAAGGATTACTTCGGCAGCTTTGTGAAAGGGTACATTGGAAGAAATGAGACTGAAAGCAGAGAGATCATGTTTGGCACTGCACTATGAAATATAGTCCAGGCAAGAGGCAATGGGTACTTGAATCAGAGTCATGTGAGAAGAATGTGATAGAGAGTTAACTGGAGATGACTGGAAGGATTTCTGTGCAGCGATGAAGGTCTGTTTGGGGAGAGGTAACATGAATTTGTAATAGACCCAACTGGCATGGTTGTGCAAGTTCCTCTAGATGAGTAAGAGTGAAGGTGAATGATTGGGGTAAGACGGTGCTGGGGGTTGGTCAGGCATGAAGGCTGATGGTCATTCAAGCTGATTCAAGGGCAGAAGACAGTGTACAGTAGAACTATACATTTGTAGGGTTGAATCTGTGAAGGGAGGAAAGTGAGGCCATAAAAGAACAGGGAGAGATTGAAAGTGATGGCAAACAGGAAGAACAGATTTAGGAATGAAATAATAGGAAAGGTAGAAGCACAGGAGATTGTGATGAAAGGAAAAACTTGGAGTATTTAAGCTCTTGAAGGTGGAGCAATTTGGAGTCGTAGTGACAACTAAGGTATGACCACAATTGAAGCAGAAAGAGGAGACAGTCATGGGAGTTGATGGGTTTGATTAACAAGAAGACCAGGTTGAGCAAGAAAACCATCTGGCTATGTAACTCAAGTCAGTCATTTGGCCTCTTTTTGACTCAATTTCCTCAGCTGTAAAATGGGTTAATAATAACACTTATCCCTCCAAGTTGTTGCATAGGACAATGATATGGTCAGACCTTTGTTTTAGGAAGATCAATTTGAAACTGAATGGAGGGTGAACTTGGTGGGGATAGACTTGAGGCAGAGACATCAATAAGCAGGCTATTGCAATAGTGTAGGAATGAGCTGATAAGCTGGTAGTGCACCAAGGAGGTGGTAGTGTCAGAGGAGAGAAAGGGCCATATGTGAGAAGTGGAAATGACAGTTCATGATCACTAATTGAGTATGGGGGGGTAGAGAGATTGAGGAATCAAGGATGACACTTAGGTTTCAAGCTGAGGTGATTGGGAGGATGGTGGTACCCTCCATGGTACTGGGGAAGTTAGGGAAAGGGGTGGGTTTTAGGGGAAAGTTTGGGGCATATCGAATTTAAGATGTCTACGGGACATCCATTTTGAGATGTAACACTGGAGATCGAGAGGGAGGTTGGGGCTGGACAAGTAAATCTGAGGGTCATCTGTACAGCAATTATAGTTGGAACCATGGGGGCTGATAAGGTCACCAATGGTATAGAGGAAGAAGAGAAGAGAACCCAGGACTCCTAGTAGTAGCAGGAATGATGCGGAAGAAGAGACAGCAAGGAGACCGAGCAGTGGTCAGATAGGTAAGATGAGAACCAGGAGAGAGAAGCATCTCTGACATCTAGAATGAAGAATGTATCAATAGAGTAGCACAACTTTCTGTGCTCTATGTACTTCATAGTGCCTGGGACCAGAAGGTCAATTGTCCTAGCCTGGGCTATTTACTGGAGGGGTTGTTGCAAATGACCTCCATTGATGAGGACAGTGCACAGGCTTCCTCTGGCTCATGAAGCAGAGCAAGCTTCTCAACCTTTGGGATGCAAGTGTCTGAGTCTGTTTGCATGAAGAGGCTGACACTGAGAGACTTAATTCATTCTGCCCTGCTTTATGCAATCTACCTTCCATCCAAGTTAGTCTCTTGGCTGTTCTCCATCTCACCTTGCAGCCTCCCATCCCCATTAGTTCCCCATTAGTGCAGAGAGACTGGTTGTCTTCCTCGGGTTGCACTCTCCATCTCTGCTTATTATAATCCTTCTCTTCCTTCAATGCTTAGCGCAGGACCACCTCTTCCAGGAAGTCTTCCCTGGACTTCCAGCTGAAAGGATCTCTTCCTTATAAATTTTTCTTATTATACTTTGCTTGCTTTTCCTTCCTCCCTTGCTCCCCCACCCCAGCACATTTCACCTTAAATCAAACTTCAAGTATGTGATATATACCACTTAGATTGTAAGCTCGTTGAGGGCAGGGAATATGTTTCCTTCCATCTTGGCAGCCTCAGTGGCTGGCATAGTCCTTAACATTTAGTGGGTACTTAACATTTTTTTTGTATGAATTAAATTAGAAAGAATGATCTCCAACCATATTTGATAAATATTAATTCTGTCTTAATCAAATCTACCCTGAGCAGCCTTAAACCTTTAATTGTGAAGACAGGAAGCTTCTGAATTAATTCTAAAAATTATAGGCTTCATAGACTTTATTTAGATCTGAAAATGGTCATAGATTTAAAGAGAGCACACTGACTTTGGAGTCAGAAAACGTGGGTTCAAATCTGTCCTTTACTACTCGTGTGATTTTGGCCAAGTCACCCCCAACCCCAGACCTGAGATTACTTATCTTACACAGAACTTTTAGGTTTACAAAGCACTTTACTTTTGTCACCTCATTTTCCTCTCATAAAAATTCTGTGAGGTAAGTAGTATCATTATTTCCATTTTACAGAGAAGGAAATTGAAACTCATAGAGATGAAGTGACCCTCCCAGGGCCATAGAGCTAGTGAATGTCTGAGGCAAGATTCAAACCTATATCTGTCTGACTCAAAATCTAATGCTTTTATTGGGGTATGCTGATAAATGTTTAACAATCAGCTGTCTGGAAAAAATGCACACATGGCACACTTTTAAGTTTAATTTGCAATATTAACATTTTCTCTATCACCTTCTTGAATCTAGAAATCAGCAAAATGGTAAACTGAGCCCTCACTTGTAATATTTGCTGATTTCTAAGAAGTTAATATTCACAGTGAAAATTTAACAACCAGCTCTCTCTGAACTGATTCAAGCTGGCTTCAGCACACTCCTGGAGTACATTTATTGTACAATTCCGTAATGAGTAGAAATCCAGAATACCTGGTCTCTGTGAGGTTACAATAGAAGAATATAGTAAATAAAGGGGAGGGAGATGTCAAAGATGATTAAATTTTTTTTTTTTGCTTAGGCAATCAGGGTTAAGTGACTTGCCCAGGGTCACACAGCTAGTAAATGCCAAGTGTCTAAGGTCAGATTTGAACTCAGGTCCTGCTGACTCCAAGGCTGGAGCTCTATCCACTGCACCACCTAGCTGTCCCCATGTCAATGATGATTTTGAGGCTCCATATCTGGCTGCCTGGGCACTTGGTACAAGTGAGGAGAAAGACTTGGGAGGGGGTGTGTGTATCTTTCTTCATGGTTTAGACTCCTAAGGCTTTTTGGCTCCATAAGCTTAGATCTACCCTAAGCACCTTTTATCAATAACATTACTTATTCTTGATGGGTATTCCTAACTGGTTTGTGGTCCTGCCTCTCTACTTGATCCTCATCATCCATGTGGTCATCAATTATTCCTCTCCTCTCTTCGTTTCTGTCTCTCATTAATGTCTACACCTCTTACATCATATAGAGAGCATTATGGTGCTAATTCTCATGTCAGTGTTTGGCTCGTCATTACAAACTCTCCTTTCTAGAGAATGGAACAAAGCAGTGTGGTTGTTCGAGGGCAGACCACTAGGTCACTGAATGAGGTCTTAGGAAAATCATTGTATGGGGTATATTTGCAGCTTTGCTTCTGAAAAAGGATCATCTGCCAGTTGAAGCAACCTCAACCTCCTTTGGGAAATCTTCCCCATCTCCCTCATTTCCATATGCGGAGACTCCCAACATTGCAGCAATTTTTTGGGGGGTAGGGGAACGTGGATAGCGAGAGAGGGAGAAAGTCTGAAATATGGCAGCTCTTTGTTGTTGATTTGCACTTTTCATTGACTAAGTCCTGTTTATTTTCAGGAATATTCCTCTCTCGGCCCAGTATAGATCTGCATCATCACACTCCTAGAGGATTAAGGGACTGGTTGGGAAGAACACTCTCTGAAACAAATTACTCTTTACTCAATCATTTCCTCCAAGGGGATGAGATTCAAAATCAATTCAGTGATAAAATGATATTTCATCTTGTAAACGTCTGTTTTGTTTTCTGTGCATTCACATCTCCCTCTGAGCCAGGTACGTTGTGACTTAGAGAATATTTGCCTAGTAATTTCCCCCCTTATATTTCTCTCTCTCTCTCTCTCTCTCTCTCTCTCTCTCTCTCTCTCTCTGTCTCTCTCTTTTCTTTCCTCCCCCCTCTGATTCTGTCTTTGTCTCTTTCTCTTTCTCTTGGAGGCAGCTAGGTGCTGCAGTGGATAGAGCACTAGCCCTGGATTCAAGAGGACCTGAGTTCAGATCCAGCCTCAGACCAAACACTTAACACTTACTAGCTGTGTGATCCTGGGCAAATCACTTAACCCCAACTGCCAAAAAATTAAAAAAAATCTTTCTCTTTCTCTCTCTGAATGTCCATCTGACTCTCTCTGTCTCTTTCTCTCTTACTGTCTGTTGTCTCTATGGCTCTGTCTATCTCTTTCTTTGCCCTCCTCTTTCCTATCTCTACATGTTCACTTCTTGGGGCTGGAAAGGTTTCCATTAGTATATGGCAATGGAGAGGACAATCAAACCTGAACTCCAAAGTCTTGGAGCAGAAGAATCCTCATTCATCCAGTGACTTTAGGTAGGAAGAAGGAATTAGTAGGTATTTCATTGTGTTTTGTTTGTTTGCCTTTTAAAACACCCACTACTCTTCCTTTACAAGAATGTTATATTGCAAGTCCTGGGACAATTTGGGGTACAGGGTCTTTGGGGAACAGAACTGTGACTAACAATTTTGGTTCCTTGGGCATAACACAAAACATGCCCTAAAAACAATTTTGTAATACATGATGGGAAAATAATACAGGAAATAATTAAAACAAATTCAATAGACTCAGAATGGTAATTAAATACTATAGTGTCTTCTATGGAATTCCATGTGTTAAATTTTTGTACCCTCTACATTTTGATGTCCTGAGGCAAATTTCCAGTTGCCCCATCCTAGTCAGGGCTTAGTTTGGGAGGCATCTAAACCCAGGAAATGGGAGATCTGAACTGAATGATCACCCAAGGGATATATGCAGACAGACACTCTAGTTATTTTAAGCCCCAGACTCCTCATGTCCCCTCAATATTGAAAGTAGTCAGCTTTGGATTTGTAGTCTGAGTAAAAGACAAAAGACCTTGAGGGTGAAAGGTTTGGCTCAGGGTAGAGTAAGGAAGGGTTGTGGAGAGGCAGAGGACTTCCTTTCTACTTTGATTATCGACCAAACTCCATGTCTATTTTATTAATAATACATGCATGCTGGGTGGTGATGTCTGAACACAAACGTTCATCTTTCAAGTCTAATTGTTCTGCTGGGTATCCCTCCTGCAGATTTATCATGCTGTCTCTGTTCTTTATTTAGCAGTTTTACTGCCAGCAATTAGGAATAGCATTACTTTGAATCCCTCTTTATGGAGAAGAGTCATCTTTGTTTACTCAGTGGGATGAGTGCAGGAGGTGAGAGTGGAGGTAGGTGTCCAAGCTAAGAACAGAATCCCTCCCTCCGGCTACCACATAGATAATCTTTGGCACTGCTGCCTATCCAGTATCTGGCATGATGCCTCCCATAGTAGGTGCCCAACTCAATTCAGTGAACATTTATTTGGCACCTCCTACTACGAGCAGGAAGCCATGGAGTTGGGCGCAGGGCTTATAGCATTGTAATAAGATACAGTGTTTGCCCTCAAGGGGTTTACAGTCAGTAAAAGAGGCAAGTGTGACTCTTCTTTCCACTGCAAAGGGAAAGAGATGGACTTATTGAAGCTTTGCAGTCCTATATAGTTCAGAGGGATGGAAGGGAATAAGCATTTATATAGCACCTACTATGTGTCAGACACTGCGTTAAGTGTTTTTACAAATATTATCTCATTTGTTCCTCACAACAACCCTGCAAGGTGAGAGAGATGTCACTATCTCTGTTTTCCAGTGGAGGAAAGTGAGGCAAACAGAGGTTAAGTGACTTGCCTAGGGTCAGACAGTTAGCTAATGCCTGAGGCTGGATTTGAACCAGGTCTTCCGGGCTCCCAGTTCAGCACCCTATCCACTGGACCACCGGCTTCTTAGACCATAGCTAGCGTGTGGTACCGGGCACTTTATCCCACATGTCTGAAATTCAGGTCATGATGACAGCACCATCTGGGGGAGCACTTCTTGGAAGTCAGGCCTCAAGCAGTGCAGAAACTTTACGGTATGCTAGGGTATGCTTTCTTTCTTCCTTCAGTTGAGCTCCCACTCCTATTTCCTTGCCTCAGGCACAAAATCGCTGGTGACAGCTCTGCCGAAGCCCTCCAGAGCCACATCCTGCCTACATTCGTACATAAAGGAGAGGATATTAGACCCATTTCACAGATAGGGAAAAGGTAGGATTTTTTTTTTATGCCTGAGATTCTTAGGTCAGCTCAGAATGCTCGACCTCTCTGTGCATCCCGTGAAGCCATCCCTTTCATCCTCCTCAGTTACCTCTAGCTAGGTGTGTACTGGGGGCATTTTTACTACCCACACATCTCTTGTTCTGTGTATTTGAGTTGGTGAAGATCTGGTGTACCTTTTTTTTTTTTCTAATTAAGTTGTATTTGCTTTGTCATCTGAATTAGAATCCCTTTCAAGTCCCTCTGCTTAAGAATTATCCTTTATTAAACTTCTGTATTCACTTTCCCTGCAAGAGACCATAGCTCTCTAAATGCAACAGTAGCAAATTTAGTAGCTCTCCCCCAGGTACTGTAGAACCTCTCTCCTCTGTCTCTATCTCTGTCTCTCTGTCTTTCTCTATGTCTGTCTCTTTCTCTCTCTGTTTCTGTCTCTCACTCTGTCTCTCTGTCTTTGTCTCTGCCTCTCTCTGTCTTTTTCTGTCTGTGTCTCTATTTCTGTCTCTCTCTCTCACTCTGTCTCTTTCACTGTCT